AGAGAGAGAGATTGGTGGTGGATAAGTTCAGATTTGCAGCATTGCAACGACAATAGTGACAGTTTGAAGCATCATTGTTGGCTATTGGCTTGAGTTATAGCGGCGAATGGAGAGAGAGAGAGAGAAAGAGAGAAAGAGAGAGAGAGAGAGAGAGAGAGAGAAGGAGATGAGATGAGAAGAAGACTTACCCCGCCAAGTTCTATGTCTGAGTGTCGGGAGGAGGAAGACAAAGAACAGTAACTCCTGCCCTCCCTTCTCAATTATATATGTAGATTTATAAAAGTGGCAATTTGGTCCAACAAAATGATTTTCTTGTCCCACTCATTATTTTTGTAATATATTTAAAACATATCAAAATTTGCAAATTCATGAAACTCTATTATTATTTTGTAAAAACCCTAATAATAATAATAATTGTTTTATAATTTAAAATTTCCTCGTGCAAATGCACATGCACCAAGAAAAATGAGAACTCAAAGTTCAGATTAGGCCTTGTTATCTTTGTTTGTATTCAACCTCCAATGTCTTTAATGCAATTTTTTTAGACTTTAAACCATTCTTTTAATAACTCTCATTTTCAGACTTCAGATATCAAAACTAACAACATTTTTATTTTTATTTCCAAAATGTCCTTCACACAATTGATTCGTTATTTATCATTAGTAACACGTTCTTACTATAATTTAAGTAAAATATAACTAATTTCATTATTAAAATGATCTTAGAATAATATAAAATATTATTTTTAATTATTCATTATTTATCATTAATAACACATTCTTACTTGTATTTTTTGTTTTTCTTTTTTTAATTGTTATATTTTGTTTCTCTTTTAATAATTTATTATTTTTTAAGAAATTTAAATTGGACCGGATCAGATCTAAAATCCGGCTTCTGTATTGGATTCAAATTCGAATTCATACTTAGTGAGATCTGATCAGATCTTCGGATCAGATTGGATTTACTCTTAAAAGTATCGAATCAGATTTAGATATACCCTGATTCTAATCCAATCCAATCCATTTGCATCCCTACTCTATGTCCATGCCTTGATCTTTTCAATCATGTATAACTCTTTTTCCGGTTTCAGTCTCCGACATGGTTACTTGCAGCAGTYGCTACCGGAGCCTTGCTTCCCTTTCATTGACCCATTCTCTGATATCCTCCATTCCTTCTCTGACGACCCAGACCTTCAATTTCCAGCCGACCCATCTCCCTCTGCTAGCCAAAGCAGACAGCTGAACAATTTGTCACAAAGCCCCACTATACAATTGCACTCTGCCTATTGCTGGATATTCAACAAACGGGAATAGAGGTTTATCTGTTAGCGATGTATTGGGAATGAAATTATTGGGGAAGTGTTATGTTTATGTCCATTTTGATATCCTCTCTTTTTTTCCAAACAGCTATTCTATTATGAAAGGGAATTGGAATTCTACAGAGGAGCTTCAGTAGCCAATCTCTGGACCAAAAACCAAGTTTCATCCACCAACATCTCTTCAATTCTGTCGTGGAAAGTCCAAATTCCAAAATCAAGTTTATGGTTCACGTAAAAATAATAAATTATCTGAGTTCAACTATAATATTGGAAAGACATGATATCCAATGTGTTAACCAATGTGGTGATATTTACCAAAATTCAGATTTTGATTGATCAAAGCTCTTCCAGTGTTATGTCTTTCCTACATCATAGATTTTATTATGAAAAGGTTTGCAGCAATGTTTAAAATAAGCCAAACTATTCTTGTCTTCCAATTGTATAGGTCAGCAGGTCGAACCAACACGGAGACCAAACCGGTCAGGAGTCCAGTTACCAGGTCAAACGGTCCGACTGTTCAAACCAAACAGCCGGTCAGTTCTGACAAAAAATTAAAAATAAAAAATAAAAACGGTTAACCGCCCAGGTCAGCAATTTGCTGACCAAAATCAATGGTTTTGGGCAAATTTCCGGTTTTGGAGAAAACCAAAACCAATCACCTGACCGATTCCCAATTTTTCTGGTCCGACCATCCGGTCCAGTCTGATTTTGAAAACTATGATGTACATATTGTGGAAAACAAAACAGTGTTTTTATTTTTGTGAAAATTACAGGACAAGGAGCCTTCAGCAGGATCAATGGCAGGTTGAAACCACTGGTTTGTTACATGCCTGTCAAACCTTTGAAGTTTCTTTCCTCTTTCTGTTGCATCGGTTGCATGCTTTCTTCTCAAAATTTGTCTTTTCTTCTTCCGTTTTTCATTCTCTTACCATCACTATGCCCAAAGAACCAGAGGAATGCAATCGGGGAACGGCTTATCCTCCAGCCCCTTAAGCAGCGAGAATTTGCATTTTCAAAGTATAGTGCAAAATAAAGGAAACAAAGGGTTCACAAGTACAGAAGCAAACACCCAATGACATTTCAACAAGATAATAATGGTATAAAAGTAAAAAATAAAAATCTAAACATGGAGATTTGGGATCCATAATTTGTAGATCCATAAATGGACAAAGAATATTTAGTTTTGTTGATTTTGAAAGCCACGTGGCATATTTAAGTAGTTTAGTCAATACACGGGGTATATTTAACTAATTAACCTTCAAAAAAATCATTTCATATCACTTATATTTACACAGGCCATAAAAGTGAATTTAAGGGTAACATACTAACATCAACTAATATGATGAAAATTACGGTTAAGTGAAAACATTTGTGGTTATTTCTTCCGCTTGTGCTGTTTCCATTGCTTTAGTATATACGCAATACCCTCTTTCAACGTTGCTTTCCTTCCTTCTTTCAAATTCCAGAGCTCCGATATTGTGTACCGTCCACTTGGATTGTACTCGTTGATCTCCATCAAGGCTGTTACAACAGCCTTACACACCTCTTCCCCCCACTCATTCTTTAAGCTTTTCAGTTTTTCATCATCTTCATTAATTATTTCCTGCGCCATAAACATCATTTCACAGAAAAGCAATGCAAATATAGTTAAGGTAAAAAAGTAAGCACTAAATTGTTTCCCAAGAGAACACTAGACAGAAGGTATAAATATAAAAAAATTAGATCAAATGCATACAGAAATAGAATAACTGGGTCCTCATGAATAGGCAAAAATGCCAAACAAAGACAAAAAAATCCTTGAATTCCTATCAAAAAGTTATAATTCAGAAAAACCATGCCTTGTGCTAAAGAGGCTCCAACATACTATATTCAGTGTTGAACCAATAGGCAACTGATGCACTGCCGATTATGCTTAGTATCGAAAAGCATACCCCAAATAGTCAAACACAATCACAAACAAGCTTCCATTTTTGTTTCTCTTAGATCTTTCCTTGTTGGTCAGCCTTTTGTCTTACAGCACCACTAATCTTCACAAACAGATCATATGGTTGCTATTCTTTCACTTGATACAGTTCCCCATCACAGGAATTTCTTGGTCTTAACAGAACTTCATTTGTACAAACTTAGACTATACATATTTTTAATAAATCCATGATCAGAAGAATATCCCACTGTTATTGCTTTGCCCTCAGCTTCTGGATAAGCAATGACGTACTACTTTTATTATTTTTTTTTTTTTTGCAAAGGTGGTTTCTTGACCTATGAAACTTGTTACACTGACAGAGAGAGACAAATAGGCATGGAGCAAAAATGAATAGTAGAAGCATTTTACTTTTGAGTTCAATAGACCACGAGCTGAGGTTGCTTCTGAAACTAGGTTTTTTCACTGTTTTTTTTTTTTGAATCAAAAGGTAAAGCATTTCAATCATGTACAGGAGAAATCAACAGTGACACACTACACAAAGTAAAKGCAGCAAAGAAATAGATAAATAAATGGGGTTTTTGCTGTTCAATCCACCCCCAGAAATCTTAGCTCCACCGTACAGGTGGGATGAATCCTGACCATGGATCAATGCCAAAAGTGCAGTCTACTTATCCCCAAATAGGGGTTTTTACTGTTCATTTCACCCCTAGAAATCTTAGCTCCACCGTACAGGTGGGATGAATCCTGACCGTGGATCAATGCCAAATCCAATGGCAGGATGCGGTTTATAGGGGGGCTACTAGTAGACTAGGAGGGGCTGTAATTTCAGATTTCTAAGGTGGAGTGCAGTCTACGTATCCTCAAATAAATAGACTGACGGTACACCAACTCCCTTAATAAAATAGCTTCCTTGAAGATTTCAAGCATATGACCAGGAGTGAATCAGCCCTACCACATGGGGGACAAGCTACCCCCATGGTATAGCCCATGAAGCGAAAAATAAATAAAAAGTAAACAAAACAAAAAAATCAGCCCTACCACCCTGATTTTCTCCAAATCACAATTTCTGCTTTCAAATATCCAATGGTTTCTCTCCCTTACAGCGGCTGAGATTATCCTCCACAAAACTTTGGGAACCAGCCGCAGGGGTTGAAACCTCCAATGAAATAATTATATAGCTCCCTGGTCAGGGCACAGTGAATAAAAAGTGGATTGTTGTTTCTCTGTCCGCCCCACATGGCACATATCTATCATCAGGAATCTGCATACCCCTCTTCTTAACAGGCCATCCCTGGTAAGGCATTTATCCAGCATTTCAATCCAAATAAATAAAAGCTACCTTCAAAAGAATACAAGTAGGGGTGATCATTCTTAGCCCAACTCGCAATATGTTATTTATATGTTAAATATATACTTATATAAGTTTTATATGATATTATATTATGTATATAAATACTATAGAGTAACACACACACATCTTTTAAAATTTAATAAGTGACTTAAGAGTTAAGACCTATGCTCGGCCCATTCAGGCCTGGGGTCCAAAGCCTGGCTGGAACCAAGCCCAGGCCTTATCATATGTGCAGAACCCAGCGCAGCATGRCCTGGCCCATGATCACCTCTAGATATAAGGGATCAAAATCTGCTTGTGGGGAAAATCCAACTCCACAGATTCACTTAGTTTCTTAAAAAAGGATTAACTGTAAAGCTGGGGAAGATTGTCTTGTATCTATCAAACTTGGCTGGGGGAGATTGCAGTCAAAAACTTGATCATGGATTTAAGTTCTCTAGGACCAAACCTCTCCAAATGGAACAGCCATAACTCCAATTACCTATACCTGGGTCCCAATTGAAATTTCTTGCACAAAATCTCTCTTGGGCTATCTGGCTCCACAACCATTGGACTGGGAGCTGAATCTCAAAAAAAAAAAAGCATTTGTTAATTATGATTCACCATGATAACCAAATACCTAAATATGCCAAAAATACCAGTGTCAAATACGAAACCAGATACTGCAAATAGAAACTTCTAGATGTACTTTATGGCATTAACATTTCTAAAACATGTAAAATAGTATGTCTAGCAAATTATACTATAAAAATATTTACATGTTTTAGAAATTTAATCAAATTTGGCATGATACACCTTGAAAAAATGATATTTACCATCATAAACTAGACATAACCACATTATGAGTATGTTACATGGGCTACCCATACCTGCATCCATATCCAGAGCTTTAGAAAATGGAGAGTGGTATCTCCATTTCCCACATTATGTGAGTATATCACATGGGCCACCTAATTCTAAGAGATTGGACTCCATTAAAAATGATGTTTTAATTAATAAAATACCTGCAATATCKTTTTATTGATAACTAAAACTATATTAGAACAGAGAAAGAACAAACATTTAGAAAGCCTTAACCCACACAACCAATAAGCCAGTCTTTGCTGGATCTTCCCTAAAACAGAGGTTCAATTAATAAAATTCTGGCAATAATTTTTTATTGATAATGAAACTTTACTAGAATTGAGAAAAAAAATGAAAATTTACAAAACCTTAACCCCCAAAGCCAATAGGCCAGCCTTTGTTGCCTCCTCCCCACCTCCTTTACTGCTTGATTAGAACTGATTGTTCCTTAATTGCCCCCAAAAAGCTGAGGCCTATCGACTCCTTGTCTTGATAAAGCAAGAAGAGGGAAGAGAGAGAAGAGAGAAGAGAAAAAAGAGAAAGTAAATTGGAGATCAAAAAAGTTGGGATGGCAACTGAAGCCTTCTTATTTATATTAGGGCAACCCAACATAAATAAATAAAAAAATAAAAAAACAGCATTGACCTTGCAACACATAATTATAAAAGCTATTAATAGTTAACACTCCCCCTCAAGTTGGGACATAGATGTCTATCATGCTCAACATGTCACACAAATCATTGTGCTGCAAGTGATGTAGGCCATTCGTGAAAATGTCTGCAAGTTGCTCTTCGGAACTAAAATAGAGGATACACACTTCTCCTTGATAATTATTATTATTATTCGAGCTCAGCTCGCGAGCCTCACGAGCCGAGCTTTATTAGGCTTGAGCTCGGCTCGATTAATAAACGAGCCTGTAAATTGGGCTCAATCGTTCTACAATGTTTGCACAACTAGAAAGTTTGACACTTCAACTAAGACATTGACATTGACTTAATTCCGGAAACAAAATTTTTAACAACTCAAAAGATAAATGACCAAGACAAATATGCCATAAATGGACTTGACTCTGACTAGAATAACACATAGACTCTGTGATTGTTGTAAGACTAGCTTTTTCCTCTAACATGTAGAGGCTATCTACCAACTACCTCTATCAATCGTCTTCCCGAAGGTCAAATCCTAATGAAGACAAAAAAAAGTCACTAAACAATTTAACGAATAAGTAATGCTACTAATGGAGAACAAGTTCATAGGAAATTTGGGAACATACAACACATTAAATAAAGTAAGGCCAAAAGGGAGAGGGTTCCTTGACCAGCCATGGTGGAGAACAAGCCATCAGTTAGTCTCACCTTATCCCTCTCAAAAAGAAGGTTATAAGATTGAAACATCTTGAACTTACCATTCATGTGATTCGAGGCTCCAAAGTCAACTACCTAAGAGGATTTTGAGGTATGAGAGGACAGACGGAAAGCAATGGCAAAACTACATAGTATAAACATTAAGGAGGTAGACAGAACAAGGCCAGAATGAACCTAGCAAAATGCCCTACCATATAACTCTAAACGGTCACCAAAAGAACTAATGATCTCCTTAGGATCAAAACCAAAAGGACATTCCTAAAATAGTGTGGAACTAGTAGTTTGAGTCCTCGTGAGAAGCCATATTTGCTAAGTTGTACCTTAGTTGTTCTTGTTTCTTACTCTACTCAGATGTTGTTTTCTTATTCAACTCCAGAAACCATTTTGGCTTTCCAATGAGATCCCAACAATTCTCATGTGTGTGCCTAGACCACCAACAATGAGGGCACCAAAAGTTTATCTTTGTCATCCCCTTTCTTTCAGAAACCACATCTCTTAGCAAAATTATCACCCCTTGTAACTGCCAAGGCAACTAAATTCCCCTTAGGATTATTCATCACATTTCTTCTACTCTCTTCAAATTGCACAAGGGCATACACTTCTTTCGCTGACAAGACATCCTTACATCCCAATATCTGAACCCTAACAAACTCATATTATGATAATGATCCAATCCTCATCACATTTCAATCCATATTATGATAATGATCCAATTCCTACCAAATTGAAGTCAAATCTAAGTAGTACACTAAGAGGCTCCTCTACCCTTGCTTATAAGTTGAAGATGCAGCTTGTAACTAATAGATTTTTGTATAATGGTGTTTTTCAAAATAGGTAGACGATACTATCTTGTTCTATGAAAGGGGAGATAAGAGGTGGAAACAGAAGTTGAACTTGGGGAGGAGTCTCAGGGAGGCTGAATTGACTAGTGTTTCAGYTTCACTTCATTATTTGGATGAGGTATTCCTGAACCCTTTAGAGTCGGATTGTAGAATTTGTTGCATTGATTCTTCTGGTTCCTTTTCTTGTGCTTCCATCTCCCTAGCAACTAAGGTGCCGAGTTGATGTCTCCCTAGCAGCCGAAGCACTGAGCCGAGGTCTCCCTCAGCTGCTAAAGTGTC